CAGCTTTAAGCCCATATCTTTTTGCTTTAGTCTTGGATGTTTTCACTAGACATTTGCAAGAGGATGTACCTTGGTGTATGCTTTTTGCTGATGATATTCTTCTTGTTGATAAGGCTAGAGAGGGAGTTGAAGGTAAACTTGAATTATTGAGGTCAACCTTAGAGTCTAAAGCTTTTTGCTCGATCATATCTAAAATTGAATATATGGAGTGTAATTTTAGTAGTAATAGACCTTTTGAGAGAATTGTGACTTTGGGCAATCAAGTCATTATTAAGAGTACACATTTTAGATATCTTGGATCTATTGTTCAGAGTGATGGTGAAATAGATGAGGATATTATTAGCAGAATTCAAGTTGGATGGTTGAAGTGGAGGAATGTAACGGGCTTGTTGTATGATAGAAAAGTCTTCCTCAAACTTAAAGGAAAATTCTATAAGATGGTGGTGAGACTTGCAATGCTTTATGGTGTCGAATGTTGGCCATTAAAAGAGAAGCATAATACTAAGTTAAGTGTTGCAGAGATGAGGATGCTCAGGTGGATGAGTGGATTTACCCTTAGAGACAACATACGAAATGAGCATATATGTGAAAAGGTTGGAGTAGCGCCAGTGGAAGATAAGATTTGAGAAAGTCTTCTTAAATGGTTTCGTCACATAAAACGGCGGCCTTTTGATGACCTGGTTAGGAAAGTAGAGGTATTAGATTTGACTTATATTAAGAAATGTGGAGGTAGATCTAAAATGATTTTGTTAGAAAATATTAAAAATGATATTTCTTTATTAGTTTTAAATGAGAATTTGACTTTTAACCGGACACAATGGAGAAAAAGGATTCATTTAGCCGACCCCATGTTGTGGGATAAAAGCTTGATGTTGTTGTTGTTGCTGTTCTACCAGTGCTCAAGTGTTGTGCTAAATAAGAAAAGATTCTCACACTATGATTAGATGTGAGCAAAGAAGCTAGTATATTAAGCTAAAATTATGATATGTACTTGGAGTATAGGTACTCTTACAAGAAAATTAATAAATTAATAGATATTATGATTTATAAAAAGATAAATATTCTATGTATTTAGGAAATTAAATGAGTTGAAAAAAAAATAAGGAGATTGATATTTTAGAATTTAGACTTTATTATTTAAGTAGAAGTATGATAAGTATAATTTATGTACTGTTTTATGTGTTTTATTTTAGTAAAGATGTGCTGTTTTAGTTATTTTAGTGCATGAAAAACTAAAAAATGACAGAAATTCTAAGAAGTCCACAGCGCTGAGGCGTTCTGACGCTTCGAGGAAACAACGCCGCAACGCCATAAATTAGACATTGTGGTGCCGAGTTCTTAGTTTGCAAGTGATGCGACGGCAACACATCTAGCGTTGCGGCATTACCAACGTTGTAGCTTCAAAAAGTCAGCTTGGCAGCATTGAATTCGTTATTTTTCAAATGGTGCAGCGCCACAATTTTTTATGCCTTGGCGCCATTTTTTCTACTTGGGCACCATAGCGCTCGAATGTCAAAAGCGCAGTGGCGTTACAATTGTACTTCCAAGTCACTATCTCTTAGTGAAAAGATGCGATTGTTCACAAAATAATTGATCCACATCAGTGAGCGCCGCACTGGTGTAAATGCTTTAGCGCTAGTTTACTTTAAGGGCTATGTGGCGCCATTACTTTTGGCACAGTAGCGTTATATGCCTTTTTATATTTTTCTATAAACAGTTGTGATGTTATGTTTATGAGGGATTTTATTTACTTGTGTAAAATTCAGTACTTTTTAGAGTACTTTTGTAGTTCCCTCTTGGAGTAAAATTTATGGAGGCTAGGAAAGTATAAGATACAACCATTTTGAGTTTTTAGCCCGTGTTTCTGGAAGCAACTCTGTAAGTTAACAGAGAAGTGTAGAGAAGATACTTTGATCCTTCATGATGATATCACTCTCTTGTATTTTCATTCTTCCATTAGTTTAATAAAAATGAGTTTGCTTGTTATTCATCTTATGTCTGGCTAAGTCTTTTATTTTGGACTGATGATATAAAATTTATGTTGAGTACTAATGTAGATTCTTGTTCTATAAATATTAAAAGATGTTTTCAATATTATTCTACTTTTTATTTAATACACATAGTGATTATATGTGTAGTTAAAGTTTAGTATAATGTATAGCCTCGATGGAGGAATACAAGAACAATCAACAATATTGAGATATGATGTTTGAATGCCTAGATATAAGATGTAAAATGTTCTAGGTTCTTATGGAGATACTAATTATAGGAGGTCAACATATATCCTTTTTACTCCTATAAGCTCGATAGAGATCTAGGGATGTATATGCTCTGAATCACATTACTATGAAGAGTCTTATTATGAAAAAAATATGCAATTTAAATTCATCAATCCAAAATACTTTAATTAAATATTGTATCCAATATTTTTAATATTTTATTTGGTGATATAATTTTCAAAAATTATTATTTTTATTTCAATAGGATAATTATTCCAATTAGAGTAAACAATAGTAGTTTGTTGCAAGTATACTGTCTCGTGGGTTCAACACTCTACTATATCACTTTATTATTTGATTCGGCAAGTATACTTGCGTATATTAAGTGGGGTTTTGTTATTTTTATATAAAAAATCTAAGCATTGTCTAGGGGTGATAAAGCCCTAGATTTTTATGCAATTTAAAAATTCACTCCACATTCCCCATTAAAGTTATATTAAAAATGATACGTATGATTATAAATAAGCGTTTGAAGGATAATGTTATAGAAATTAGTAACATTGAAGATAGATTAACTTTAAAGATTGTTGTTGATGCTAAAATTATTAATGCTATAAGTGCTTATACTTCTTAAATATGATTGGATATGTGTTCAAAAATAAAATGTTGGAAAGGAATAGGAGGATTAAAACAAAAGATACCTCTTGAAGAAAAAAAAATTTAATTGCAAGAGATTTAAATGAAATATTGGTACAGCGGTAGAAGATTTTAAAAGCATTAATGATGACTGTGAGTTTGGAGTGATTAATGAATATGGTAGGACTATATTAAATTTTGGTCTAGTTTATGATTTTATATTTTTCTAATACTTTATTTAAGAAAAGAGAGGAGCATCTCATCACTTATAATAATAGTCATACTAAAACCCAAACTAATTATTTTCTTATAAGAAAAATAGATTATTTAGATTGCAAAGGTTTTAAAGTTATTCAGATTGAAAGTTTATGTACTCAACATCGCTTATTAATTTTATACTTTAAGATGATATAAAAAATAAAATAAAATATTATCCAAGAATTAGATGAGGATATTTTAAGAATGCTTATAAAAATATTTTTAAAAGTAAGATTTAAGA